CAAATCATTTGTTCCTGCCTTGATTAATTTTAATCTCCAGATCATGTCGTGATAAAGTGAGTAATTAATATTTTATTTGCATTAAATTAGTCGAACCGTGACATAAAGTGGGTAATTAACATTTTATTTGCATTAAAGTATTTTCTTTTAATTTTAAATGTTTCATTTATTACACATATTACCTTATAACGGAAAGAAGATAAGTTTGTTTAGAAAAAAGTTTGATATACTTAGATGATTGATACAAAGAAGTTTGTTTATAGGAGGAGAAATTATTGATAATAGATAGCAGGCTCTAATTTAAAAGGCATTGAAGGGACGCCCCCCTGAGGGAGACGTGAGACAGTGCCCCAGCCCAATGAGGGGTGTCATTCTCATGGGGGTGTACGCCCCCACATGCCTAATATGCCTAGGAAGTAACTTTGCGCCTCACCGGGTCATAGATCTATTTTAACAAAATAAAAATCTAATTGCACTCCGAGCCTCACACCTACCTAATTTCATTGCAACCATCACTCGTGAACTCTTCTGCAGAACCCATAAAGCCCTAAAAGAGCCATGCGATCCAGTCGTTCTCTCGTTCCCTCCTTCCCTTCCGTTCATCTTCCAGTCGAATGCAGAGAGCAACCACAGTTTCAACCGTCTCTCCATCACTCTTCCGCGGGCATAAAAAGTCCTAAGAGGGCCACATGATCCAGGCGCCTCCTCCCCTTCCATTCATTTACCAGTCGCACTCAGAGAGAACAGCCAAAGTTTGGCACCTACATAGCCCACACTCCTCCCTTCCCAGCAGTAGGTAGAGACTCTTGTGGGCCAGCAAAAAGGGAAACATCGCACGGAGACCTAACCTAAAAATGTAAGCACGAATTAATGTGTGGATTTCACTGCACCTACAGAATTTTACTGTAGCTACAACAAAATCCGCATCTATGTCATTTTGAATGTAAATTTTGGCATGAATTTTGACTATTTATTTTCTTTAATTTTAATGCCCAATGTTAGTAATTAATTTGTACAGAAATGGTTGGATTGTGTGACTGATATTAGTCACACTAGCAAACACTTTGCATTGCAATACACAATAAACATACCCAATGAAAAATATTTTAGATGTAAGTTTTGCAATCGCATACGTAGTGAAACAATAAACAGTATGAAAGAACATTTTGTCGGCACACATAATGGCAATAAACCATGCACTAAGTCCCCATTGAAGTTTAAGAGAAATACAAATAAACATTGAAAGAAGATGTAAAAGCCAAAGCACAATGTGGTAGTGTATTAAATGATATTAAAAATCATGCAACAAGTATTTGTGAAGGTCAAAATGCCACTAATTCATCATTATTAGACTCATCTCAGAGGACGCCTAAAGTTAGGGGTCCAATAGATTTTTTTTTTTTTATCACAACACAAGCTAGGAATTCTACTCTAAATTCCAAGTGGAAGAATAATAAAAGAAAAAAAACACGTGGAACAATTGGTAAATTATGTTCCTCAGCCAAATTGTCATTTAACGTTGTCAATGACACATTTCATGTCTATGATTGAAGCATTTATCAACTTTAGACCTGGTTTTAGTGCACCTATAATGCATGAATTAAGAATTTGAATACTCCAAAATGATGTTGCTACAATTAATAAGATGTTAGAGAAGAATAAAAGGCAATGAGTAAATATGAGCGCTTGATTATGTCAAATAGTTGGACAAATAGAAAAAATAGGATTTTATTTATTTTTTTTGTTAATAGTCCTATTGAGAGTTTTTTTCTTAAATCTGTGGATGCACTGATGTTATAAAGAGGGTGAATTAGCATTCACATATTTGGATGATGTGGCTAATAAAGAATGGGAAGAACATGTACAAAACATAACAAATGAGTCAAATTATGTGAATGTGGGTAAAAAGGTAATAGAAAAAATACAACAAATCTATTGGACACATTATGCAGCACAATGTACTGACCTCATGTTAAAAAATATTAGAAAGTTAAGGATTCGCAAAAGCACTCTTGCAAAAGTAAAACAAGTTGTTAATTCATTTACGAGCACACATGGGTTCTTAGGTGAATGAGATCTTTTACAAAGAAGAGGAAACAATTTCATCCAACCATCACGCAATTTGTTAATGTAGATTTGACTCTTCAACCACTTCAAGCAATGTTCTCCTCAAAAGCTTGGTGTTATAGTCAATGGGCTAAAAAGACATAAGGTATAAAAGATCGAGTTGTTATTTTATTCAATCTATATTTTTCGGGTCATCTTGCTTACTATATCAAAAGTGTTGTGCCCCTTGTAAATATTTGAAGAGATGTTAACTTAGAAGAAATGTCAACCATGGGTTATATTTATGAGTTAATGGATTCAACAAACGAAAAAAATTTGCTTTTAATTGTGGGCTTGAAAAGAAATATTGATCTATTTGGAGGAAAATTAATGCAAGATGGGAAGTCTAACTTCATAAACCATTACATGCGGCTAATTTTTATTTAAACTCTCAATTTCGCTTTAAAGAAAATATATTTAATGATGAAGAGGTGAATCAAAGGTTAATTGTTTGTATGGAAAGAATATTGGATTATGAAGATCGCCTTAGAGATGATATTCAACTAGACTTGCATTATAACTTAAGATGAAGCTTTGTGGGTAGAGTTTCGATGAACTAACAAATAGTTAGATCTCCTGCAAATTGGTGATGAGATTTGATGAGAAAACACTCAAGTTAACGAATTTTGTTATTCGAATTCTGAGCTTCATCTGCAATTCATCGGGTTGTTAAAGAAATTGGAGCACTTTTGAATCGGTAATAATTTTTTACTTTTTTAAAATTGTTATTATTTACTTTCATATATCATTTCCTAAAAATAATATTATTTATCTTAGATTCATACTAAGAATAGGAATAGGTTGGAGCACAAAAATTTGTAGGCTCTAACGTACGTAAGATATAATACTAAAATGAAGGGGAAAAGTATAAGAAAAAAATAAGACTTCGATCCAATATTAATAAATGACATAAACTCTAATGACGAGTGGTTTGTTGAGAAAAAAAAACCTTGTGCTTCAACAGGAACCTTTTTACGTGAATGAAAAAGATGCATTTGATGTCGAGGTTATAAAAAATGTGACCATAACTAATGCAAATGAATAACAAAATTTACGAAAGAAAGAAATGCTTTTATAACATATTCTCATATAAAAAGGAAGTTGAATGAAAAAACAAGTTTCATATTTAATTTTAATTGTCTTTTACATAATTAAGTATTCTTATAGAAAAAAGATCTTAAATATTTACAAATATCATTTTATTTATTTTTATAATATAGGCAACAATGGTAAGAAGAAGCGGATTGTTAATGCCCTAGGGACTTAGCAGGACAATGACTTTAATGAAATGAAATGTAGAACCCATGAAGGAGCTGGTTGTGATTTGAACACAACTATTGGTGAAGAAAAAAAAAGAAGATTTTGAGGATGAACTTGAAGAATGAATAATATTCAAGGATTGAGATCAATTGAGCACTAGTTTATTTTTTGGCCCAAACATGTTTACATATTTTTATATTTTTGTACTTTTTAAATTGGATTTATGTCAAAATCTTGAAGATTTAGTCCTAGATGACTTATTTTGAGATTGGATAAGCAAAAGTTTCTATTTTTATCACTTAAAAATTATATGACTTGTATTTGTTTTATATTGTGGTGCTTACGCCACGTCCCGTAATAGTTAAAATGCCACGCTCAGTTCCTTCCCCCCGGTCGTTGGTTTCTATGTTTTGTCATTTTTATACTATTACTTGTTTTACTATATCAAATTAGAAGATCTCATATGTTTTGTGAGAATATGTTTATTTATGTATTGCCGATTAGTGATTCTTCTATAATTGAATATTGTTATGGACTAACATTGCTGTCTAGAAATATTTGCTTTCACTGCCCAATACTACGTTCCCACCTTGATTAACTCTAAGTTCCCAAGTAATATCGTGCCAATCAGCAGGCCCTCAGGTTGGATCTAGTCCCTTCTATAAGACTGTGATATGGTAATTATATTCTTCAATAATATAAGGTTTCTTGTCAAGGGATTGTTTAGCAAATCTTTTTAATGGAGCATTAAAAATAGAACCAAATGATAATTACTATCAATAAAAAGGAGAAGTTAAGAACTGAGATAAGTACAAGGAAAAAAAAATATACAAAGCATATAACCAAATTATGGGAATGTGTAATTAAACATAGACTCAGGATTATCATGTAGGTATTGGGAATCAGTTAGTTTTTATACAAGATTTAATACAAAGTTGAATTTTGTGCATAGGTAATTAGTCAACAATATATGGAGCTAAACAAGATCCTCACATGATTTTTATTGATATCAAGAAAGAATAAAATCAAGTATCAAGAGAACAAATTTGGTCGGTACTAAGTAACAAAAATATGAGTTGATATTATGTAGTCAATGATATGCGTGAGTCTGACAGAGATGGGTATCAAAATAGTCATGGGTCGACTCAGAGTGTGCACTAATAATAGGATTACATTAATGTATAATTTTAAGAGTATATTTTTATTGGTTATGGCGTCTCTCTAATTAATGACGATCAATTTTTCATGTAAAAAAACAAACAAAAAAAAGAAAAGAAAACTGGTTTTGAGAGCATGTGTAGCTCTCATCAAACAAATGAAAAATGTGAATTCATAAAGCTAAACCTATGTTTGGATAAGAATAATTATAATGATGATGATCAATAGTGGCATTGAAATGACTCAATTAACTTCAAAAATAAAAAAGGGACACATGTTTCTGAATAAATGGCTACATGAAATCCATTCAATTTCTTCAAAATGGTTGGTTAAATTTTTAAAAAAAAAACAATAACTAAGAAGGCGCTAATAAACAATTATCTCTAACATATCTATATGAAAAAAATTATAACACAAAAATAAAAATTTTGAGTTAAAATTTGAAAATAGCAATGCAAGAAAAACATGTAGCATACCCACAAGCCCAATTGCAAACATTCTCCACTGAATTTCGGTTAATAAGTACCTTCGCATACCAATCAACCCATTCACTATTTTCCTGCAAAAACAGAAGTAAATCATTTTTTCAACAAATGAATCGCAAAGTTCACCTACAATCATAAACTAGAAATGCACCCTCCAGTAACTGTTACATCAAATTGACAAAAGCTATCTTAGGAAAATAAGGATGTAATTCTTAAGGAAATATAACAATCATAAATTTTGACCTATAATGAAAAAATAGGTATCACAGGGATGTAACTGTTTACATCGGCACCTAAGGGCAAATTTATCTTTTATTAGGCTGTGAGAAATTTAGTTTTTTATCATTTATTATGATCGAGTCTCGAGTCTTAGGGTTAGAGTTTGGGAGTGATTTCCTATGTCTCTAATTGTAAGATTTGGGAGAGATCTCATGACTCTCAAATTATAGGTGTTTATCTTTGAATTCATGTTGTTTTGGATTACTAAAAGAATAAATATTTGCTTTGCCCTAAATTCTCCGTGAGAAGTCATTCTGTTTCCTATCAAATTTGTATCAGAGTATTCGGTATGAGGAGGATCTAGAGCCAGAATTTCGACAGAAAAGCAATCGCAGGAATTAGAATTATCATAGAGGAGCACCCGATCCTGTCATGGCGTACCATATAATCACGAGTTAAGCTCGTTGGGAAGGCGACAACAGGATTGTAGAGTCCAAGGCCGTGACGGCCGCGAGTTAAGCTCGTGGGGAGGGCGACAAAGGATCACAACTTACCGAGACCCAAAACTTCATCTTTCTCCTCCCCCGCTCTGTTTTCAAGTACAATCACAATCAAAGCTAGTTGAGAAGGTTCAAACAGGATTGCGGAGAGCTAGGTGGGAAACAACACTCTTTAGTCGCGATTCGCAAGGAAACAACATCGGGACCACGACATGCCAATAGCCGTGATACAGACATGTGTTTGCTGAAAAGAGGCGAATCTCGCAATACAACCGCAATTGTAGCTAGCTGGAAAGTCTCGCGATACAGTCGCGATCGGATCGGTGAGCTTACGAAGGGTCGCACACCTCCATGCCCGAAACTAAAGATACATGTGCGGTTGCAGTGGTTACAACTATCAGAAGTAAAGCTCACTAATCCTCTACACCTCTTTCATCAAAATTGTCTCAGTAGTAATGACACCCAATAAAGTACACGCTCTATAGAAGATATTAGAGAAAGAGGTGAGTCAAATCAAACTTGAAATGGATGAATGTTTCTCGAGCATGGAGGGGCGGTTCGAGAGGAGATTCACGGCCCTTAAAGAATTCATGATAAAAATCATGAAGTTTCACAAAAACCACCTCAGGGTACCACAAAATAGAAAAACTGCGTCGAGAACAAATGCAGGCAGCAGCAACCAAAAGGATTTGAGCCACATCAAAGCATCATCGCTACTTTAGGCAGATTGGGAGTTGCAGTATCGAGCCAAGAAATCAATAACGGACTCGAACGACAACACTTGGAAGAAATAGCACGACATTCAAATGACTTGAACAAATGAAAGCAAGCAGGATCAAAGTCGACAGAGATGGAAAAGACACATTAATACTGATTCTTGTGCTCGATAAGCTACTAGATAAGTTGTTGGGAGCTGCAATATTATCTAAGATTGACTGGAAGTCAGGATACCATCATATTCAGATGCACTGAAGGATATGCACGAGATATTTTAAATTCTTGAGGATCACCACGAATTTCTAGTTAGATGGAAAGGATTCCAAGATGAAGATGTACCGTGGGAACCATACGACTAGATCCAACATTAGTTTTTTTCCACCTTGAGAACAATTTATCTTTTGGGGAGGGGAGTAACGTTAAATCGGCACCTAAGGACAAATTCATATTTTATTTGCCTACGAGCAATTTAGTCTTCTGTCATTTATTATCATTTAGTATAAATAAAGATAATAAGTTTAGGGTTAGAGCATGATAAGATTGAGTCTTGAGTCTTAGGGTTAGGGTTTAGGAGAGATTTCTAATACGATTAGGCGTAGAAATCCACACAGAATTTCGTAGAAATTAGGGCAAACAAAAATTCTTATTGCAATAATCACACACGAATACGAAGATAAACACCTACAATGCGAGAAGTAGGTTGCCTCTCCCAATTCCTACAATTCGAGAAGGAGGAAATCTCTCCCAAATCCTAGACATCTCATGCATAAACCTAACACTGGACATAACAAATCTATTTATATCCAACAATAATAATAATAATAAACTAAATTGCCCTTAGACTTACAGAAGGCAAATTTGTCCATAGGCTAGGCACCCTCGTAATAATACCCCCCAAAAGTCACCCTGTCATTAAGGTGGGAAAAAATGAAAGTGCTCCTCCTCCCCCACAGTTGTCTCTATTTCTTCATTCTCTACTTCCTCGTCCTGCAATATGAGAACTTGTAATCTTCGATCCTTGTAACGGTGTCCTGAGTAACCTTCTCATCACACCGAAAACATAACTCCTTGCTCTTTGCTCCCGAATCTCTATCTTTGTAAGGTGCTTGAGTGGTGCTCCCAGTCGAGGTCCATTATTCATGTCCCGTGCAGCCTCCCTCTGGATTTCCACTTGCTGAACTTTTGACATCGTCGTGGTTGCAATAGTTCCATACAATGCTTCATCTGTGTTGCACTTGTTAATGTTCTTCGTCTGGTTCTTGTCTTCCACCATCTGGGTTAGCTTCATCACCTCCCTCAATCCCTGTAATCTTAGTACTCGAAGTGATGCCCGTATGTCAGGCTTTAAGCCCTTCATGAAATTCCCCTCCAGTCCAGCCTTAGAATACCCCACAGTCGTCCCAACAATAGTTCAAATCTCTCTCTATATTCCATGGTCCTCTTCTGAGTCAATGCATAGAATTGCTAGTGTAAATCTTCTTCCCGAATGGCTCGGAAAAGTTCCAACAAACAATTCTTAAATTCATCTCAGGAACAAATCAGGTATCTAGCCTCCCTCCACTGAAACCAGACTAAGATTTTTCCCTCCAAACACAATCCCGTCTCCATAAGTTTCTCCTCCTCATCTAGCGAATTCACTGCAAAATATCGCTCTACCTGATACGCCCACCCATGTGTGTCTTCCCCCTCAAAGATCAGCATCTTCAACTTCATAACTCTAACATCTCCACCCCAACTTACGCTTCCTCTGTTGTTTCCCCCAATGTATCGAGGGTAAAGCTCATTCCTGCGACCATAGCCATATTCCATCCCTACTTATCTCCCTTCTTCGTGCTCCTCCATACCTAAAACAAAATCCCTTTTCTCCCAACCACTTCCAGCAAAAATCTCCAATACCCACCTAATTGTAGCCCTGAGAGGAGGTTCATGATGGTGGATTTTGTCCTCCCCATGTACCTCACCTTCAATCTCTTTTCCTTTCAATCTTGTTACAAATTCTACAGTCAATCTTTGGTTAGGGATTGCAAATTGAATTGTCGGCGGGTTCCTGGATTGCATCCAAATGTTCTTTAGCATATCTCAAATTTCCCCCATGCTCTTGAATTGATCCTCCAGTCGGTTCTCCATAGAAGAGAACCCCTACTCTATGGTGGCGAACCTTTCTTCCATCCCTTTATTTGGCTCATCTCTTCCTCCAATTTCTTTTCGAAATCTACTTTCATTGCTGACATTACTCTCAAAAAATTTTTTGATTACAAAAGACGGAATCCTCAGTATGTTGATGTCGTCGATGATTTCCAAATAGTTAAAATCATAGCGTCCAATGCAGCAAAGCTGCGATCTAGCAATAGAATCTGAAGGAATTATGCTCAGAGGCAATCCACTAACAAATTCTAGAATTTTCGAGTTCGCTCATTAAAAAATGATCGGTTTTTTGTCACTCTGTACGTTGCGATCCTGACATTGATAACCAGCTACGTGAATCACGATTGTATCGTACGAGGCGCGCCGCAATCCCGCTGTCAGCACCTTGCAATCCTTGATTTGCATAGTTCTCCGCTTTCGTTTGCGTCGAAGTCGGACACTACGATCACGGGGACGCGACTAAAAAACGCAATCCTTTCCCGCATGTCGATTACTTCGCATCGTCTCCTTCCCAGCGAGCTCTAACCATTTACGATCCCGACGCTGCCTTCCCAGTTAGTTCTAATCGCGACTCGATCGCGTAGAAGATGCAGGAAAAGAAAAATGGAAATTTTGGGTCTCTGTGTGCCGCTTCCCAGCTAGTTTTGCTCGCGATTGTAACAAAGGGTTAGGTCATGAAAGCAAGACCAGAACCCATCATTATTGCGTGCGACAGAGGAAGGTGAGAAAGATGCGAGTTTCGAGTCTCGATTAGCCGCCATCCTTCATGCGGGAGTCATCCCAATTACAGTATCGCTAACAAAGACTTAATCCTATCCGGCTTCCAAGTAGAGGCCGCTCTGTACCCAACGATCCCTTCCCTCGATCTCGGTGCAAAATGCGACCAAAAATCTTGGTTGCAACAATCAAGTGCTTAATTTTCCATAATTTGAAAGCTATGATATCAATTTGATATGATTTGATATTGAAATCCACCCAAACTTTTGTAGAAATTAGGGAGAATAAAAAGTCTTATTGCAATAATCCAAACAACTCACATGAATACAAAGATAAACACTTACAATTCGAGAGATAGACAATCTCTCTCAATTCCTACAAATTGAGAGATAGGAAATCTCTCCCAAACCCTAGACCTAAGGCTCACAACTCAATATCATGCATAAACCTATAACAAGTTTATTTATACCAAACAATTGCCCTTAGACGTACAAAAGAAAAATTTGCCCTTAGACTAGGCGCCCTTGTAATAATTTCCTACCTCTGGAATTGTAGGAATTGGGAGAGATTGTCTACCTCTTGAATTGTAGGTGTTTATCTTTACATTTGTGTTGATTTGGATTATTAAAGAAAATATTTATTTGCCCTAAATTTTCTGTGAGAAATCATTCCATTTCCTATCAGTAACACAAAGTGGGACAGCATTATGACCAAAATCACAAAGATTTCCTGAGAGAGCTGGCTAAGAAAAACAGAATATACCAATAAAAAGAGTATTTAACACCAACTAATTTGCCTTTATATAACCGAACAGGGAAAGATGTAGGAAAATGTTTTGCACTAAACTTCAATAAATATGGAAAATGGTGGACATGCATGATATATGATGCATTTGTTACTGAATAGAAGCTTTCTCATATATTACAAGCACCTCATAAATCACTGTAAGAACAAAAGATAATGTGAGCAGGAACCGTACTTAAAATGGTAATTAACCTGCAGATGTTTCTGTATTATTCCATTATTCTTTGCTCCCTGAACAAGTTTGTTAGCCATACGTGTCAGATGCCCTATATTACCAATCCTTGGAGGTGATCTTCCTTGTGCCAATACTGTTGGCTACATGTAAAAAAAGGTTACCACAAAAGATATCGATTACTTCAACATGTTTTCATTCATGCTTTGTATTGCAAGTAGTAAGAAAAAACACCTTGTCACAATGCACACGTAGTGCAGGCTGCCTTTCAGCTCGAAGAATTTTACCAACAATGTCACACTCAAGCAGAACATGTTCCACAAGTGAAGCTTTTTTACTTTCTAAACAGGACACCATCATACTCTCCACTTGATGATGTAAAAAGTTATTAAAGGGGTACCTACAAGCCATTCAATGTTAAAAACAACCAAAAAAATGGAAAACATAAAAAAGTGTGGTTATCTCGGGTGATTAGTTGTGTGTGGAGCCAATGGTAGGTTATGAAGCCACTTACTCAAAGAACAAATCTAGAGCATGTCTCAGAGCTCCTAGGCGAATAAGTTCCTTCTCAGCATCTTCACTTCCTAATGTGAACAAAATAGAAATGAACTCCAAAATCTGAAAGACAGAAGACATGTTAAGCTGCAGTATAATAGATAAAGAAAGCCTTCAGATGAGATTTGACAAGATACAAGAAATTTCAGGTTAATTAAACGCCCAAACTTACAAAGACTCAATTATTCAAATCACTTTACAAAAAAATTCAATTTTTGAGCAAAAAGCAATCATGCTTAGTAGAAGTATATATTTATAAACTTATCTCGAATGTTATAATAATTGTGGGTATCATGCAATAGAGTAATTAGTCGAATACATGTTCAAGAACATACAAATGCACCAACACATGTGATAGATAAACAAGCTGCACAGACAGCTAGATATAGCTAGATTATTAACGTTCCAGTACAATTCAAGGTACATGAATACAAGAAAATAGATATACACAAAACAGCAAAACAAGTGCATAAAACTAAGTTTTACATACATACCACTCCATTCTTACGATTTTACATGCCTGATATCTAAACTTCAAAATTTTACATACATACCACCTTACCTATGCATGAAAAGAAATATGTAAATTTTAAAAAGTTAAACTGATGATATTGTTGATGTGATGTATAAAATTTGGGTGGTATAAATATAAAAAATAAAATTTAAGCATTAGATATGTAAATATATAGGAATTGGATGTCATGTATGTAAGTGCCTCGAAAACTTATTATCAGGTAGGGTTCTAGCAAAGGAAAAAAGAAAAAAACGAGTAGGGTGGTTCTAGCTCAACGACTCATGAAAATTTGAAAGCAAGTCAAGAAAACACTTTTTTGTTGGAATGGAAAAGAAGAATAAATTATTTCTTGAATACTCTTATACTCCAATTATACAGATCCACATTCAAGTGGCACTTGAACAAAGCAAGAAACGTTAAGCTGAAAAAAGCTACAGTTTATTTTTACAAGCACTACTCTGGGCATATATGAACACATTTGAATGAGAAGTTAGAACTAATTTTATGAACTAAAATGCAAAAAGCATTCCAAATTATATAATTAAATGGTTCAAATGGAGATATTGCCAGGTCTAGACATGCAAGCAGGGAAACCATTAGCTCATGCTTGTGACTTGTTTTCCATTTTCTGTATAACATAAACCAAATATACTCAGAAGGAATAGAAGCATTGGATAACATTCACTGTCAGAACTTCAAACTTAAATTTACGGTACGAATAGAACAATTACTAGCATGACTTCAAATACGGTACCTTCAAACGATGTTTTCCAAGAGGAGGCTTCAAGTAACCAAAAGTAGTAGGCAAGGTGACATCATAAGTGGCAACATCCAAGAGCTTCAACAAATACCCTTCATGAGAAGAATTGCCAGCAACGACAAAAAAGGATATATAAGAAATTGCAACATAAATATTGAAGTAAATATGCATCCCAAGCATCAACCTATTAGGACACATTAGGTGTGACCACATTCAACACTTGCAACTTGAAACCTATCAAAATAAGTCGAGAAAAAGGAGAGAGAGAGAGAGAGCTTTTTGGCATTTGAGTTTACCAAAAGATTGTCTAAAACCTTACACCAAATGAGTTGACAGACACAAATGATCAGATACTCTTGGCAAGAAAAGTAACAATTTTACATTCTTGGAGGCCTTAAAACCAACATACAAAAGAAAATGGCTTAAAAAGCAACTGAATCCAAACCCCAATCACTAAATGGCGTTCATTTTCATCACAATGGACAATTTTAATTTAGAAGCCAACTATGAAGCAAAAAATTGACTTCCTTTGGGGTTGACATGTAGTACTACTGGTCATGAGAGAAAACAGAGTGTCTTAAAGCAGATTAATATTTTATAAATTTAAACATACTAAATAATTTATATGTTTTATGTATTTATTTTGATTTTTATTTTTTAAAATTCATATAGAAAAAAAAAATCAGCTAAGATCAAAAACATTTAAATGATTTAGTTTTCATCAAATACAATCAAATTTTAAAGAGAGTATTCAATTTGAGAGATATTATTGATTTGATTTGATTTGAATTTAATTAATAAAAATTGTGAGTGGCTGATTGTAGAGATTGAAGATGCTCGTAAACAATGATTTAGTAATGAAGATCTTACTTGGAGATCGAATGTGATCTATAAGATTTAGAAGAGCAAAAATAATGGTTCATCCATATTGATGATGAGTTCATCTTGATCTGTATTCGTTCCTCTTGTGCCAGAAAAAGAATATAAAATTTACTTACGAGAAGAAGATGAAAGAGAAAATGAGAAAGATGAAGAAATTCTACCTAAAAAGATGAAAGAGAAAATGAGAAAGATGAAGAAATTCTAGCTAAAGGATAAAGGAATTATTTGAATGAAAGAAAAGATAATATTTTAGCTTGATTTATGGAATTTGAGACTTTGTTAATTTATTTATGCTTTAAATTTTAATCTTTGTTTTGAATTATAATTTTACAATTGTAAGTTTTTAATTATTTTAGATTGTTTGAACATTTAATTTGCAGATTCACGCTCACAATATGACTTCAAATTAGGTATACGCACCACATTGTTCTCTATTTTCTATCAACTTTTAATTTATATAATAAAGATTCAATATTTATAATTGTTCATGAATGTATTTATATATTAATAGTTTTGTATAATCTAGTAGAGCTTTGGTTAATAAAAGTGTAATTTCGATCTGCGCTTTGTACTTTGAAGCAAAAATGAAATTGTATCGCATTGTGCTTTGCTCTTTGATAATACTGGATGATAATCTTACTAAATGTAAAATGTATATGAGTTAAATTTTATAGAAACTTATAATGCCAAACGATACCATAGATTAAAACAAATGGGTTATTATTATTCTTATTAAGTTGGATGTAAGAAATTGTTAAACTCTGACAAGAAAAAGCAAGAAAAGAATACATGAAGAAACAAAAGTGGGAGGTAAAATAAAAGCACTGATGGAGAAGAGAATCAGCTCTGGGTATTGTCAACTGAGGCTGACACGATATTTGGATTTATAACGCAACCCCACAATCACATGCACCAGTATGTTAAAAAGCATGCAGAAACTAATTCGGACTTCAACAATAATCAGGATCATGAATACAAAAATGGTCTGCTTTTACAAACAAATCTTCACCATTCACTCTTCTTAAGATCTACCACTTGAGTTGATTTTATGTTACTTAAACCTTTTTGAAATAAAGTCCATAATACATCTTACAAACATCCTCAATCCTATTTTATATGTATCCTTGTCTCAACTTAGCATATGCTCAAACCATCTCAGAATAACTACATCAACGTCTCTTTCATCGGCATTGCTCGCATACATAAATTCATCGTTAACTGATGCTTTGGCTATCTTGATTTGCCATCTCACAATCTTGAAATTTTATAATTTCCTATTTACCCACAACAATCGGATTAATACATCAATACCCTAAAACAACTCTAAATGCTGTTTCATGGCATTCATGATGATTACCATAAGGTTCACCATCTACGAGGCATCCAAAGCCCCTCTCCATTTAGGTCATCCAGTGATCATGTTATTCTGAGTATATTTATTCTGAGCTCAGTAGAACATAATACATACAGAATATTGAAAAAGCATTGCATGAGATTCAGATTTTAGGAATTTAAGAAAACCTGACAAAAATAAATGTCGAAAAAACAACATTCAATTTACTAACAAAATTAAAGTTGCCGCCTAGTTAAAAAAAAAAACAATTTACCTAGTTTCTCTAGCATGAGATCAACAGTCTCTGGATCGGCAATTACAACTGTTCCATGGCTTAACTGGCTTCTAAATGATTGGTAAGAAGATTGAAGTAATCTCTTAGGATCTAAAAGACATATGCACACAGACAATGACTGAATCAGAACAGATTTTGGCCTTGAATCTTCCAGTGCATATCGAAATAATCTTCCGACAAAACTGCAATTTAAAGCAGAAATGCGTATGGGCAAAGGATCTAAAAAAAAGTCAATCCTATTGAAGGGTAAAACCAGTAAATAAGCTACCTTGGGCTGCAAACCTTTGCTGCAAGTCCGGGAGGAGCATATCTAGTTATTGCACAAAGTACTTCTGCTGCATTAGCATGAACTTCAGGTGAATCCTGTGCGGACCAACGCCAAATTAAAGTTATGCAGTACAACCATTACAGGAATCAATGAAGAATTGATTTCTTTATGAATTTTAGCCTCTCCACAAAAGTGACAATTCAACTCGCATAGGCAAAGAAATGAATAACTCATGTCAACAAAGCATCATCATCATTCAACAATATCATTAATATGTACGGCTATGAGAATAAAAGTTACCAAAGCATCGCCATGCAACAACTTCTATTACAAATTCTTTAAATTTTAAGTGACGCGTCATAACCACAACTACAGTAAATCTGAAAAAGCTTTTGTTTTTCAAACATTTTGATAAATCTTCCAAAATCACAAATGGTCAGGCGAAATTGATAATTGTTCTCATAAATTTGAAACTTGAAGTAGCTTAAAATGTTAAAACTGCAATTTAATGGAATAACAATGCTTTACATTAAGCATTCATTCAACTTGCTAAATATAGTGATCAAATCCAGTGTAATGTTTTTCATATGAAACCGCAAATATCCATGTTTTTATGACTTCGACTTCATTTGGGATAGCTTTTTTGTTGCCATTCTAGTAAGTCATATTAATTAATTGATATTGTAATAAGTAATTACTTCATAAAATATTGGAAATTATTCTAAGATGTGTACATAATCAGAAATAAAAATTGCCTATAAACGTTAAGAAACTAAATAATGCTGCAAAAACACATACCGATGAACTGAATTTATCAACAATCAAGTCAAGCACGTCAGTGGAATCTACCAACTGCAATGCATCCGTATAGCTGGAATACATATTTTCGTCAGCACCAATTAAACGAATCAAAACCTGTTTCAATATTCATATGTATATAGACTAAAGGTTAGTAAGGCCGTGCTGTATGAAGGATTTTCTGAAACAATGCACTATTTATTAGCCTAATATTCTTGAAATAATGAGCACAGTTTTAAATGCTGACCTCCATCATAGACGTGATACCAATTAGATCAATGAGTTGATGTAAAATTTCTGGGTGGCTCTATTTGATAAAAGGGACAAAAGAATTTCGTCAAAAAAATAACTATTGATGAGCAAATAAAAAAATAAAAAAACAAATGCCGTTATTTTACATGCTATTTAATATGTCACAATTGCATTCATATTTGGTGGGGGTAAAACTGTCACGAATATATGTACATGTAATTGTTAAATTTACAGAATGAAATAAGAAAAAAAATAAATAATAAAGAACAAAATCAGCCTCCCCTACACAATCAAAAAGTTAACTAACCTGAACATAACTCATGAGTTGGGTGGTCTTCCGTGCCATTAAGCATAACACAACCTTCAAGAAAAGAGCAGGAAATCTAGTAATTAACTTATAAATTCATTATTTTAAAGTACATGACAGCTTTTGAACAAGGACGGGAAGTTTTAAACCTTGCTGAAGTAACCAGCCAAAATTGTACTACGTGGGTGATCAGGTTTCAAGAAAGAAAACAACAGATTCATCGCCTGTGGAATAAAGAAATAGTAAACAAGAAGTAACACAGGGGCATGGTCAATCTCTTCTGCTAATAAAACATGCATTAGGCTAATTCAAGGGTCATCTAATAGAGAAAATAAAGTCTTCTCTAACCTCATCATCCTCTAGCAAACTTTGTAATATTATATCAACATCACATGTCAAAATTTCACAAGAAATAAAGGGAAGCCTGCAAGGATGCAAAACATAAATAGATCATCTCCATTAAGAAAAAATGAACACGATAATTCATTAGAAAATTCATAAAAATCAGTCCAAATTTTACTTGAAAGTTCGTCTTTTATCAGCTTCCTTAGGAGCTGCTTCAATAATATAGCGAAGGAGCTGCTCAACTTGAGTCCTCTCGCGAAGGCTAAAATAGAAAAGAAGAAAATTACAGCAGGTTGAGAAGTGCATATCATAAAACAAACAACGTTAAGAATGGAATCAATATTGATTCCCCAAATAAAAGTTCTGAACAGTTGTATGGTACAATGATTACTTGTTTTCAGAAAATTGCATCCAGCATAATAAGGAAAATACCAAAAGAATGAATGATCCGTCTGGTTTTTTCTGTCATCTCAATTCAATTACGTGTGAATAGAACTTTATGCAAATATAATAAATGAGCAACAATCGCAGGAGAAAAGAAACTCAACTTTTAACTTTTACCATTAAGTGATGAAGAGACTGAGGATGATGACTGCTAAACTACTATAATTTTAAGAAAAAGCCCAATAACAAAATGGATACTCCTCCGTGCAAAAGAGACTTCTACAGTCTTTCAGAATGAATTATCAAACAAGCAGGACAGTACTAACCAATCCCAAATACCCACTAACAATCCAATATTAGACCAATTTGATTCTGCGTTAAAAAAAAATTAAATCAGATCTAAATTCAACCCAGGTCTCACTAAGTATTCAGTTCAAACTTCAAAGAGAAAACCCATATTTAATTTTGATAATTTTTTCATTATAAACCAAATATTAATGGAACATCTAACAATGCATCCATTGTTCCAAAAACCAAACAATTATAGATCATAAACAAATGGCAGCAAAATATGCTTACAAGCATAACTATAAAAAAACGATTAAGAATAAGCATAGGGTAATATATGTTTACATGTATTCAAACATGAAACATCTTTTTTTTTTTCAATATGATTTCAAATTACCACGATTTAATCCAAACTCAGCTCAGTTCAAGTTCAATTCTAGTCAATTGCGACTCATAAGTTTCGATGGAGTTGGTTTGATTACCATGCAATCTTACATATCTTGCTCAAATTAACGTCCTTAAATAAAATTTCAAAAAAAAAAAGGGCTAAAAAAAGAAAAAGAAAACTACAAATATCAACAAAAGGCAACAAGTGCAATAACAATTGATGCTTCTCAATACAAACCAAACAGACACCTAATCAAAACCTTTTGGCATGGAAGTCAACATAACATCCATGATTGAAAAACTCTAGGAAATGTAATTTTGTTACAACATTAAAAAAAAATAATGCTAAACACAAAAGGGACAGTAGCAATTAGTATAAGCAACATAACCAGAAAGAAATACAATTATAGCTCTAACCGAGTAACAGAATAGACTTAGAACTTCATATCATGTTCCAAAAACATGAAAAGCAATAAATTGGGATTGAATAAAATTCGTGATTCTCTTCATAATGCTTGAGCATACTCATTAATAGTATGTTTTGCATACAATATACTTAACAGCATATCACTAGGTATGCACTACAGCATTTATTTTGTCCTTGTTCTCTCCAAGGTTTTAAGTTTCAGCGGTCTCAGCTTCGTTTTGAATCAGTAGAAGTTGAAATAGAGTTGAAGCTTGTTAATATTTTTTTTCTTTCAATTTGTGCTAATAGTTTCAGTCAAAACTCAAGTGTTTTGATGTAGTGTCCAGCCAAGTGTTACAAGTTGCACCAGAAAATCATAAATTTTGAATGAAATGCACTAAAACTACCATCTTTAACATTATATTTAAATTAAAGCAAAACATTTATTTTAAATTTCATATGTATTACAAATTAATCACTAACAAAATAATCCTCATTGGCTCCAATACTGATGGAACCGACTTGTTCTTCGACTAGGGGCTGCTAGGCTGCTCATATGACCAGGCAAGAAATCATTTATGACGCTTAATTTGACTTGAACTTTTTGCAATCCATTCATTCATTGACTTGCACTCATTTTTTACTTCGACGTCAAAATTTGCTTTGAAAGGATTATTATTGGAGTTTAGTACCATTTTCAATGGAATTTTTTCCATCGACGATTGTTGTTGTCAATCCTTCGATGGATGAGAAAATTTTTATCTAACTTGTAGCAAACCAAACTGGCGTTTGGTTTCGTTCCTCCCATGAATTTAACGTAAACCATCCTCCTCTCACACCACCTTCACACCTTCAACAACGTGAATCATGTGATCTTCCCGCCTGTGACTGCCTATAGCACACACTTTAAGAGCTACATTGGCTTGGGCATCGCAGCCGTCCTTACCCTTTTGTGATGGCTTGAGTTTGTTTCTGCTGTTGTTTCCGTCCACTTTGTTTTCTTTAGATATTGTCTTTCTTTCTTATTGGACAGTTATTATGTATTTTAGTAATTAAAATCAAAATTTTATTTTCTCTTGCTCATTTATATTATTTATATCAGTTGTATATAAAGTTTATCCTTTTTTAGTACAAAACATATTTCATGTTTCTTCATCATGCCCTATGCTGCCAAGATGTGCCGACTTCTAAACCCAGGTTGCTACAAAACTCGAATAAACAAAATGCAACTTTAAAGTTTAAGTCTGCCAAGGAGTTCCCTGAAAATGGCGAATTACGACCTAACCAAAAGAAAGAATTTGCTCAAAAAATCTATTTCATCTCATTAACACTTCGACTTATATAGAACCAAACAATATTTACAGAAAAACTCCTAGATTTCTTTTATTTACAAATAGAACTCTACATTAGATACAAATCTCAACACTCCCCGTTAAGATGAGCGAAAGATATTCAATAAGTCCATCTTGTCAAATAAACTAGTTAACTCTACAGAGCCAAGTCCTTCAGTGAGGCAGTCAATCACCTGCTTTCCAGTAGCTACATAACTTACGGTTTGTTTAGAGCAGTTGTGGCTTACTGACAATCTGCTGATAAGCAGCTGATTCAGATAAGTTGTTGATCAGCAGTTGATCTGGATAAGCTGGTTGGCTGTTTGGTTTGTGCTGTTAGAAAATAGCTGATTATGGATAAATAATCATTCTGCATGTGCAGCAATGTTGTTTGCAACAGAACTGTCATAGCAATATATTTGATACTTGAAAAGCAAAAAACCACTTCAGAAAAGTGGAAAAAATAAGATACACACCTCACAAGCACGCACGCATATTACATCCACCACACACACCCCAAGTCCAACCACCAACAGACACACCCATCTTCATGTGTAACATTTCCAAATGCTAAGAATGAGACCCCTGGTCAATTGTTATCAATTTTGTTCATTCTTTACTATCAATTAACAACTTCAAAACCCTTCAAGCTTTCCATCAAACCAGAGTTGGGTGTGTAACCAAGTTCTGATAGCATGGCCTAGCATATCCTTTCCAAATTTTTATTAGATGGAAAAAATAAGATACACACCTCACAAGCACGCACGCATATTACATCCACCACACACACCCCAAGTCCAACCACCAACAGACACACCCATCTTCATGTGTAACATTTCCAAATGCTAAGAATGAGACCCCTGGTCAATTGTTATCAATTTTGTTCATTCTTTACTATCAATTAACAACTTCAAAACCCTTCAAGCTTTCCATCAAACCAGAATTGGGTGTGTAACCAAGTTCTGATAGCATGGCCTAGCGTATCCTTTCCAATTTTTTATTAGAGTGATATATGAAGCACAACATTAATCTTCCCTGCAACCCAATGGCCCTTACAGGACCTCACATACATAAAACTTTTCATACCTACCAAGTAAAAATAGAATTTCATAATGCAAACCAGCATTGATATGAACCACACACGCACACCACAACCGGCGCACACACACCCATGTCCAACCACCACCATACACACCCAAGTTCAATACACAAGTCCAACCTCCAACACCCAACCAAAGGCAACACTCGACAGACGCACACACACCAAATTCCAACCACCAGCACACACACCCAACCAAAGGCAACAGTCGAGGGAGAAAGCACAAAAAAGGAGAAATTCCAAAAATCAGAGAAAAAAGTCATTCCTTCGAATTTCACCATAAGAGCACTGCAAACTTCTAACAGCAAAGGAGAAAGCTAATAAACGCACAGAAAAGTCATTCCATAGAAAATCACAAGGCAATAGCAGTACTTACAGTGCAACACAACCACGGATCGCAGAGAGGAAGGGGAGGAGAAAAACAACAATTGAGTGAGATGCATGAGAGAGAGGCGCGTGAGAGGGAGACGGGAGAACGATCGAAATCCACAGGATGAGGGAAGAGAGGATTGAAAAGGTACCTAGGGCCCGAAATGAGGGCGAGCGTGACAGTAGGGCAGAGAGGTGAGAAATCTCTTCCGAATGCGGGCCAAATGCAGGCCGCATGAACCCGCGGCCAGCATTTATTACAAAACAAAAACAGTGTATCGCGAAACACACCGAAAACGGGGAAAACAAACACCATGACGGCATTTTGAAAACGCAGATGCAGCGAATAAGCTGCGCCAAACGCAACCTTCTTTCCAACAATCCATTATTCAGCTTATCCTTGATGAAGAATCTGTCAATCTCCACATGTTTAGTTCTATTGTGTTGCACCGAGTTGTTATCAATCTTGATTGACGACTTGTTATCACACCACAACTTCATTTGAGTTTCCCGATCCCCTTCAACCAACAATGCTTTCAGCCACATCATCTCAACAACTCCTAATGTCATGGCCCTGTATTATGTTATGAGTGGAGATTTATTTGGTGAGCAGCGGGACAGAGCGCCCGGCGCCTATGCGATGGGTTGCGGCGCTTAAGTGCCCACTTGGGTGTTGCTCAAATTGAGAAGCTAGCGCCTATGCGCCAGCTACGAGCACATATGTGCCCATACAGGCGCTTAGGTGACTATTTCCCGAGGGCTTTGCGCATACGCGCCAAGTTTGGGTGTCTATGCGTCAGGAGCGGTTGGTGTCGGAAATTAGTTTTTAATCTCGGTTTTAAATGGCGTAAGATAGGGCTTGGTGTATCCTCCTTCGATTTTCTTCAATGAGCATCCCGGTGAATGTGAGGAGTGTCAAAGAGATAGATTTCAATGATTCGGCGTGATTTTTGCGTCAGAACGAAGAGTGAAGATTGTGGAGCAAGTTTTGGAAGTTT